CACGGGGCCACGGAGCTGCTCCTTCGGGGACGTGCAGGTGTTCTCCCTCACCCCCTACGTGGTGAACGTGACGGCCGTGAACCCCCTGGGCGCTGCCTCCAGGCTCCTGCCCTTCCTCCTGGAGAACATCAGTGAGTGGTGCTGGGACCAGCCTGGACACCCGGGTCCCCCTCCCCAGACCCTTAACCTCCACCTCCCAAGCAGCAGGCCTGGGTCTCATCCAGCCCTGGGGCTTCCGTTGGGCCTCTCCCCTCCGGTTTGCTCCTCCACTTGGGAAGCGGAAACATCAGTGTCACGATTTGCCGGGTCTCAGGCCACCTCTGCAGCCCGTCAGCTCAGTCAGCGGCGCTGGGGGACATGGTGTCGCTGTCTCCCATGTCAGATCCCCCAGCCAGCACCTCACCCTTTCATTGTCTCCCTGCTTCATTAGTAAAGCCGGACCCCCCCGAGAACCTGCGGGTCTCACCCATCCCCGGGGAGACTGAAAAGCTGCTGCTGGAGTGGAGCCCACCAGGATCCTGGCCCTTCCCTCAGTACTTCCCGCTGAAGTATCACATCCGCTACACCCAGGAGGAGGGCTCCATCACCAAAACGGTAGTGCCCACCCCCCCGCTGCATCCCCCACCCTCCCACACGAGGTAAACTGAGGCACAGCTGAGGGATGCATCCCCGAGCAAGGCTGTGTCCTGGACCCCTGGCCCACGGGTGCCCCTAACTCTGCTCTACCCCTAGATTGGGCCATACGACCAGACGTCTTACACCCTGACGGGAGTGCAGCCTGGGACCCTCCACCACATCCAGGTGGCTGCCAAGGGGACAGACTCCGGGGAGTTCAGTGCCTGGAGCCTGCCGGCCTCGGGGACGCCCTGGATGGAGCCATGACAGGCAGAGCAGGGCCAGCGTCCCGTTCCCCATCCTGCTCCTCTCCCTTGTCCCACCGAGGGACTCCACATGCCCCAGCCACTCTCCCCGTGCACCCAGCAGCGCGGAGCCACGAGTACTGGAGGGACCAGCAAGAAACAGGCAATAAACCAGCTGGAGGCTCTGATCCCTGTCCCGCTTTTGTGACACTCTCCGCGCAGCAGCCGAGCTGCCCCTGGGGACCGTCCCTGTGAGGCCAGACGGGGCCAGCCCAGCCCTGGCCATGGGAGCACAGGCTCCGACCGGCCCCGATCACCTCAACTGGGCCATCAGGCCCGGAGTGGCCCCTGTGGAGGGTCCAGACCGGTCACTTTGCCCCCCCCGCCCCGC